ATATTTTTCAATAAACCGGCGTTATAAAAAAAAGTATTCATATATTTTAATAAAATTTATTTTAGATTCGATTATATATTTATTAACGATTGCAGATAACGAGTTATTTATTATTATTATTATTTTTTTTTTGTAAGGATTGCTATCTTAAAGTAGTTTAGAAAACTGTATATGCTAGCAGTTTTACAATTTTCAATTCACATTTTTTTATTTCATAAAGTTTTTTGTCCTCCCCTTCCTCGTCTGTTTGGCAATACAGATTTTTTTCATGGACCAGGGGAGAGGGTGCCAATACTTAATTAATGCCATATTCAAAAGCCCCTACTCCGGCAACGGGATACGATCTTGTTATTATTTTATCATGATAACATCGGTTTATCATGTTGCCGCTACGCCACCTCGTCAATTCACACTAACCATCTGTAAAACAAATAAGTGATTTAAACTTTGGAAGACTATTATTAACGGAATTATCGTCTGAAATCCAACGGTTTCACGGCACATATGAATTCCTCAGCAATTGGAATATTTAAAAAAGAAAGTTGTCGACCTTCAGACACGCCAGTTTTCCCACATTTGAAATACTTGTGGCATTTCCCGCTTTCAGCGCTATCATCAACAGAATGGCGAGAAAACCATTGAGGATTGATCATAGCGTACCAAATGTGATTTACTTCTGCTTAAGAATATATGTTATTTTATTTTTCATTTTTATCTCTGTTCAGAATACTTTAATACTGTTCTTTGGATACAAAAATGTCTTTAAACAATATCTCCAGTAAGAAGTAAAGATTACGAAAAAGGCTCTAGTATTATTTTTAACATATTGTTATTTCAACATTTTTTTTTTTTTGAACGATAATTACTCTCTAAGAAAAGAAAAATTATCAATAAGAAATGATGAAAAAAAATGTAAAACCAGAAAAAAAAAATATTTTATATAGTTTATAAAATTTTTATATTTTATAAAATGTTTTATATAGTTTTTTTTTTTTGAGGTACTTACTTATTAGCATATTACTGAAGTAATTTAGTAGCTGTGTTTGCTTTATAATTTTAAAATTCAATATATTGTTAATGTTTAATTTGTTAGCCTAGATCACTCACATAGACAACTATGGAACAATGAAAAAAAAAACATATATATATATCTCCATTTTGAGGGAAGATTCATCCCGAAACTCCCCTCTCTCCGTAGAGCTCTCTGTTGTCTGATACATTTTCGGTATTTTAAGTTAAGCTTAATGTTATAATTTAAAAATAGTAAAAACATCGACTTCTTATGCCCTACTTGTGGTGTACTAGAAACCGCTGAGCACATCACATCCTTGTAGCCTGTACCATCAATGAGGCACTGAGGGCCAAATTGATGAGGGAGACAGGGTGCTATTTTTTGACAGAAAACGAATACCCTCAACTGATGTCTAAACGAAACTACCCTTACTTTAAAAGATTTGTATGCATATGGAAAGAAGATGTGGGTGCAACCCAGTTCTTTTTGGGTAGGAATGAAGAGACGGTTCCTGGTAGGCCGGCGTACAAAACAGGAGAGGATGGCGGAAGAAGAAATTTAACAATGAATGAAATCAGGCTGAGTAAAATGTACAATGTACAGGCATATGTATTAATTCACTTCTGCACTTTCCCGGGTTGCCTTCAAGGCAGGGTGGAGAGAAAAATAAAATTATAAATAGTTGTATCTGCAAGTTATTTGCATTAACAGCAAGGATAAAAAATTCTTTAGTAAGTCACTATGACAACAAAAACAAGTGGAATTGAAACAAACAGCAGATGCAATAGTAGGTGGGCTCAAGGCCCCATAGCGTATTGGTAGGCGAGCGTGTAGGCTGGACGTAATTGTTTAACGTTATTTGTGTCAGAGGTCACGACTAGGAAGAACTCTACCAGCTGTTCGACAAGACGTAGGAAGCCTCCTTATTTACTCGTAATTGAAATAACAAATTGGATGAATGGAACTCCATGAACGGGTGGACCCTGAGGAACAATAAAGTCCTATATTTAGTCGAGGATGTACACTGACAAGGAGGAAGGTAAACAATTCACGGAGGAAATTTGTTTAGCTTCTCGGTCAAACAGGTTTTAATCTAAAAATAAATCCAAAACACATGTGAAAACAGCTGGTAGCCTACTAGTCGCGTGGCATCTTCATTTAGAACCCGTGTTTGCTTTCATTCACGGATTCTTCATTCTTAGGCACTCGTATCGTTTGAAAAATTCCTTTCACATTTCATTCGATATCAATTTTTTTAAACTAAACTATTTTTTTTATGAAATATAAAAAATGTTATACTTTGTTAGTTATGTTGATGAAATATATAAAAAAAAACCCTCTTGTTTACAAACATTAACACAACGAATATTAAATTGGCATTTATTAAAACGGGGCCAACCAACAACATTCACTTGGTGTAAATATCTTCAATAAAAATAGTTAGTAAAAATATAAGAAACAGAATGCAACATTCTAATCACAAGAAATGAGAACAAACCAATCTATTGATAATAGCAGTATTTTTTAGTAAGTAAAATATAGAATAAAATCAGACTCGCGAAATATATATCGCGCTTTGAAAGTTTCAAAACTAAGAACTTTGACTTTATTTAAATTTACCGAAAACGTGGTAAATGTGGATCAGTTTCCTTTTTTTTTATGGTGGCCAATCAATATATGGGCATTTCTCTTTCAGTTTATTGTGAAATAACAGATTGCGTAATATAAGAGATAGTCTGTTATTTTAAATTTAATTTGTATATATTTCTTGTTGGTGAAGAAAAGAAAAGGTGAAAGTTCGGTGGAATATGATTGGTGTAATTCTTTTTTTTTTCTTTTTTTTTTGTTAAATATTACACATGTCTTTTTCTGTACAAAGGTACAAAAATTCAAGAAAAATAAATGCCTTTAAGGTGAGAACAATGTTTTTCCTGGGAGGAAGGAGCAATTTAGTTTTGCCAACCTCTCTTTCTCTCCATCTACGCTAACTAGGATTAGTCTAGAGTTAAATAACAATATTTTAGGTAATAAATTTCATATTATTAATCATAAAATATCATCATCTTATAGTATTGACTCATTTTAATGTACATATAAGAGCAAAACAATCAAACAGAAGAAAGATTTTTTTTGTTAGAGCATTAAGGTCTAAAACACCGTGCTCATCCACACTTGTACTTGTTAATGTCTTTGAGTTAAAAAAAAATACATTTTATATATCATGTTTGTTTTTTTTATCAGGAAACTACTACTCAGTCATTGTTTATAATGTTTGATATATGAGGTGTGAGTTTTATACTAGTTACAATTGAAAAGTAAAAAGAACAATCTTGCAAGATGTGGCTGTTAATATGTGTATTATTACAATTATAGCCATTTTGAAAAAAAAATTTTTAATTTAAAATAATATAAAGTAAAAAAAAAAAATTCCAATACCACTCAACACATGAAGTGTTTCGGGCTCAGTACTTTGTTAGTTCAGTGTGTCTTGGATTCAGAACTTTATTAGTGTTTGGGTTCAGTACTCTTTTGATATAAATAGGTGTGCAGGGAAGTGAACGGGTCAGGGTCACGCACAACCCTCTGTTTTTGCTTCTTAATTAATAGAATCTACTTTATATAGTCAGGGTGAACCCCGGGAGATTCTCTTGACTTCAGTGCCGATTTACGGTTGATAAAACAGAATGAATAATTACTTGTCACAGCCGGATTCGAACTTGGGACCTAGAGCTTAGCGGTCCAGTGCCTGAATCCCTGGGCTATCCCGCTTTCATATTTATATATAGTATAAAAATATATACATTTTTAATATTTAATAGTTGGCTGTTGCATTATAAGGAAGGAGATGGTCCGGGGTGGCGGTCATAAATAGGCTAAATAGTGGTAAAACTATTTTTATTAAAAGCCGACGTTTCGACCCGACTTTGAAGGTCTTCTTCAGGGAGGTGTGTTCAGCTAGGAGTTTCACTTAGAACTGACAAAGTCGGGTCGAAAAGTCGGCTTTTAATAAAAATAGTTTTACCACTATTTAGCCTATTTATGACCGCCACCCCGGACCATCTCCTTCCTTTAAAAATATATACAATTAGTATAAAAATGAAATTTTGTTAATATGTTTTTTATTTTATGGATAAAGTTTTTAAAATATATATATATTTTTTATTCAGTCACCGTTAATGAGATATGGTCCGTGGTAGAGACTCTTTTTTTATCAAACCATTAACGTCAGCCTGAAACTTTGTGTAAAGACTCATCTAATCGTAACCTTTTTTTCTCGATTTTGTGATCAAATTATCTTACAATCCATGTGGAAAGCATGTGGGTATTTACGAGATTTTAGTACCTAATTAATTAGACAAATTTTGCGGATCTCCAGATTGAAAAAGCCCCAATTCCAAAAGTTTTCTTAAATAAAATATTTGTAAATTACGATGAGATGAAGTTATTTGTGAAGTTTCAAGTAGATGTTATTAATAAAATGTTATTAATAATTATTTGATAAAATTGCGTCTCCACCATTGACTAATAAGAACAGAAAATGTTAAATATATCGTTTGGTTAAAATCTGATGTTTTCATTAAATATATTAAAACATAACGTGTTAGTAAAATACGAAGCGAAAGATCTTTTCAGTATAAAGCCATCAAACTGAATAAGGTTTGTCTGAAATAGATTTTTTATTATTTTATTGGTACTTTAGTTTTCAAGATATTTTTTTATTTTATTCAGCTAGTGAGATACACTTGGTCATGTGCTGTGTATATGAAACAGATGTGTATGTATTTTCCAAATTTAACATAACTGAAAACGTGAGACATAACAAGTACCTAATTAAATAACCTAATACTTAATTTGAATATTAATAGAGATGTTGGCTTTGTAATTATTTGACGTAACCTTCAGCCGACGAAGAGACATGTGCTCCTAGCCAGATACAAACAAGCTCTCCAGTTTCAACTGCGACCTAGTTATGGGATCATTATCTGAATCAATAGCTGGTGGGGCCATCGCACTTCATCTCAGCGAGGTGTTGGCTCATCAATGGGGACTGTGATTGTATTGTCTGGGCTGTATCGTCTCTAGTACACGCTCGGCATTCCATTACGCGAGTACTGCAAGCAGTCAATCCGAGTCGATGAGGAAAATGGTGATAGACAATGGAAGGATTAATCTTTGAGAACATCAAAAATGTAATAAGGAAATAATTTCAAACGAGTATAAATATCAAATGCGTTTGATATCCCACGACATTAATGAATAATTTATATTTTTATCTGAACCAAAGAGGCAAATTAACATAACTGGCATGCGGTTATGCAAACGAATGAAGTAAACTAATATTACTGGCTACTGGAAATATTATTGAACTAATAATCTTATTTGAAAATATATTGTAATAAAGTAGGAAGGTATCCATTCCAGTCCAATAAAAACATCATTTTGTTGCGTTTTTCTTAAAGCATTTTTATTTTTTCGATTAGATAGTGTGAATGTAATATAATTTGAAGTAATACAAATATTATAGAAGCCATTGTTATCTTGACGTTAGCTGATAATGAGTCAAAACTATGTGCTACAATAGTTAACTAAGAAACGACAGGATGTTTGGCATAGTATAGGATGTTAGTTCAGTTGATCACCTAAATATTCATATTAAGTATTATTTTTATTGAAATTGAAATTTAATACTATATAAATATTAATACACCCGAGATGGTGGAGAAGAAATATATGAGAGGATCAGGTTCTTGTAGGACCATAGTGCCAAGAATAAATAAATAAAATACAATAAGTATATCCGTCATAAGAAATATAAAGCATGAAGAAACTACCCATTGGTAGCATTTTAAATATTATTCTAATTTGGGAGGTCTCTTGCCATTTCAGATGCCTCGGAGGGTTGTCAGGGATAATTTTGGATAATTAATGGAAAGGTTATAAACTAGGTTTATTTGACTAAGGAATTTGGAATTAAAATAAGGACATATATTTAGGACCAAATCTGCATCAGATCGAGTATTGAGGTCTTTATGGATAATTTTATTTATGAAATAACAAGATAGCGTCAAGAATTCTGTGGACGATTGTGGATTGTAAGGATTAGAAATGGGAAAAATTCGATGATTTTTTGGAGCCACCAAGTTTAATTGCAAATGTCCAAATAAGCCTGACTTAACCTAATGGAAGTGCATACGAGATTTTTGTAGTTTATTAGAAGCTTAGAATGTTTGTCAATTATGTGTTATATAAACCAGAATCTGCGAGCAGTTTCTTGTTGTTTCTGTCTTGTATGAGGATACCAAGTAAGGCACTTATCATAATGTAGTTCAAGAAGAGGATATTGAATTTTTATTTTAACAAACATTCAAAAGATAAGTTCATAACAGTTGTAACTGTTCTGTGATAATGAAAAAAAAAACTTGAGTAGCCACACTACATACATACTACAGATTAGTTCAAAGTTACATAGTATAGTCATTTTCATTCGTAAATGAAATTGTCTCCTTTTATTTATTAATTTATCATATTTATGAATATACAACCAAAATTTGCAATGCTGATAGTATGAAAACTGATTCCACTGCCTACCTCTGAAATAAAAAGTTTCAAGAATCACTCTACGTAAGCAAAAATAAAAAAGTTAGATGAGAAACTGCTATGAATAATCATCTGATTGAAGCTCCTCCGTCAAAATACAGGTTAAGATATTATTGGTGAAAGAGGAGTAATTTTTACGCTTTCTTCATTATTAAAACTATTTATTGGTTCACAGTCAGTGTTCTATCTCGATTTTCTTGCGAATATAATAAATATATAAAATATATGAAAAAAAAATCTGTTGTGTCCACTTACACTACTTTCCTACCTATTTCAGAAGTTTTGATATCTTTACGTATGTCCATCAAGAAACAAAAACAAATTGAATTAGATTTATTTTCCTGAAAATTGTTCAAAGAAAAGATTTGAGCACGATTTATTCGATAAACTAAAGCAATGTAAACCGGTTTAGGAAAGATCAGTGTAAAAATTTCAATATCCTCTAACGTTCCTGTTTCTATTAAAAGAAGAAGAAATAGTGAAGCTTATGTTATGCGAACAACAGAATTTCTTACTTTCACTTAGTTATCTTTTTTCTCTCACCCCTTTCTGACACCAAGATATGAACCCATAGTCTTAAATTGGAAATTGAATAGCTGTAACTTCGTTAATAGTTCCGAAATGAACGATTTATATACAGTTTTGTAGGGAATTTCAAAACATTTTAGGCCCCATTTTTGTTTTTTTTATAACTTTTTTCCCTGTATTTTCTTGGGAATTTATTCCATATACGAAAATTGAAAGAACAATTATTAGAACATTATAGGAATGTTTCATCAAAATCGTTAGAGCCATTTTCGCGCTACAGTCTATAGGAAAACAAGTTTTTCATTTATTGCACGCAAGCTATTGAGTATGGAGCACCGAATTTCTGTCACAGGCATCAGTTGTCAAAATCCTACAAAATAAAAAAAGAAGCAACAAAATCGGTTCAGTAGTTCCAGAGAAAATCTTGGCACAGACAGACCAATGGCTAAAAATGTGTTTTTCGTACTAAAACGTACAGTTCCGTCGAAAACCGCATATCGAAAATTTGACCCGATCGCAATACTTTCCTTACCTAGTATAGGTAGGACAGTAAAAAAACTCTTACGTGTTCCGTATTATATGAGCCTCAAGTCAGAGGTTTTGCCCATTAGATTATTATAGAAAATCAAATTTAAGATTGATAGCAAACGAATAATATATAAAGCTAATTGTCATAGAGCACAACAGTATTTTTTGAAATTACAGAACTGGAAGTTGAGGTGCACTAATTAGGGTTTATTATTGCAACCTCTTTTTAATCCTTACGAAACAGATTATGTTGCAATTGTTTTCATAAATGATAATCATCCCGAGGCAATAATTTGAAGCAGCACTAACCAGAACGCGGGCGAAGTTAAAACACCTCGCGCAGCTTCAACGGTTGTTAGCTGCCTCGCCCGGCCTCGAGGAATTGGGTTATGACAGTGCAGATTAAAAGGAGTTTGTTCTCGTCCTTCGGCATCGCGTCTGCTGGCTTCAACAGCTTTATTAAGCTTCGTAATCTTTCAAAGTATAGTAACTCATTTGTTAAATAAATCGTCTGGCTTCCTTGGCTAACATCAGTCTCGTTTTGCCAAACAGTATTGCAAAATGTTAAGTGTGAATTGTGTAAATATATTTGTAGATTACAGCTTATCCTCCATTTTTAATATTTGCACAACTACATTTTCAAAATGTATCACTGAGTTAATAAAATATGTATTTTATGATATAAGAGGTGAGTTGTTTTCTGCTGGTCATCGGTGAACAATCAATGCGAATTACTTTGCCATTGTTCACATGAGCTGTGAGTATTTTGTTGATCATTGTGTTGCTATCTAACCATAAAAACTAAATATAAGAACAAATTATTAATGTTATTATGGGCTAGTACCAGTTTCGATTCTGGATAAGCTCAACTAAAGTAAGTCCAAACCTTTCCACCAACCTTGTTTCGTTAATAATTTTTCATCTCCCGTGCTTTTCGCTCATAATTCTCCTGTCTAATAATACCTGAACCAATCATAACATCTCTTGAAACTCTGGCCTTGAAACATGACAATACTACAAAAATAATCATTGCTCAATTCATAAAATAAAACGCTGAATTCCATATCATTCACACGTTAAATTTGACTGTACAACAAATATCTAGGATCTAGCTACCTATCTAGGATTCGGTATTGCGAGTATTATAATTTTTAATAATAAACCAATCATAACCTTTTTTACTGTTTTGAAAGAAAAATCAGAACTTTTAAGGATTCCATTTTTTTACTTGTAATCACTACAAATTTTCCTTACTGGAAAATTAGTGTATTTTCGAAAAATTATATCGAAACTGTTATCGCCATGAGTTAGGTTGTAAAACTCAATATTTAGTGGATTTAAATAGGTGACATTTTATTATATTTTTTCCATTTCTTCAGATCTAATTTTCTGAATTTTGAAAGTGATTGTTTATAACTTTCCGTCACACAATTATAAGGTCATTTCATATGAAATGCCCGTTTCTCTTATTTCAGAAATTCAAAGTGGAATTAGTGGACTTTTGTTGTTTACTGCGTTTATGTTTACAGACCATAAACGCAGTAAACAACAAAATGATCCTGTCATTAATCATCATCATTATTAGTCATTAATCCTATAATTGTTTATAGTATTTACTATCATTCCAATTGATTGCGCATACTTTATTATGCTATCAAATATAACTATGGAAACTCGTGACTTTCGAGTAATTTTTTTTATGAGCTTAAACTTGTACACTCGGCAGCCTAAGCTGCAAGAAATATTACTACGGCGTTCGAGGAAAGATGTAATGACATATGAGGTGACAATGTTGACCATTCGCCGGTTGTTAAAAAAAAATTGCAACCAAAAATATTAATAAAGGAAGAGATGGTTCGGGGTGGCGGTCATAAATAAACTAAATAGTGGCTAAACTATTTTATTAAAAGCCAACGTTTCGATCTGACTTTGCAGGTCTTCTTCAGGGCTAGAACGGACAAGATACAAAAAAATATAGAGAATTGTGGAAGTTATATCATGTTTAGATAAAAGATTATAGTCAATGTGAATAAACTTATTAAAATTATAAACAGTAAGTACATTAAAATATTAAGAACAATAAGTTGTGTTAATAGAGTGAGCTAAGTAACAAGATCCTAAACTGAAGTAAATAGATGGAAAGTGTTGCAGTATAATAAAATATTATTTATGCAATTGTGAATATAATCCTACAGATCTACAGGAAGATTGGAAGAAAAGAAAAAAGGATATAATATGAAATGATGGACGTAAGGGATGTGGAAAAAGAGAAGAAAAAATAAGAAGAAAAATAATAAATAAAAAATAAGTAAACAAAAATTTGTAGAATAAAAATAGACTTACAAATGTGTTCAGCAAGCAGTTTCACTTAGAACTGGAAAAACAAAGTATTGGGGAAATTTTTTACCTTGGTTGGGTAATGGTGAGAGGGTAAGTAGTAAAAGTTTTTATAAATACTTTATCTATAAAATGGACAATCTCCTTCCTTAATAATACAACGGTCAACTATTAAGTATTCAAAAATATTAGTGGTTTCTATGTTGAGGTCAATGGCAGGAATCCTTTTCCCCAATCGTCAAACCACCACGTCCACATCGTATTGCATTCATATTGACATAATGCATCAATAATAACCTGCATTGGTTAATCGGAAGAGATCTATACTTTTACACGACAACGCCAGATCTAATGTTTCATGACAGGCAGTGGAGAAACTAAACGAGCTGAGGTGTGAAGTCTTTCCACTCCCAGCTTATTCCCCGTACTTATCTCCAACAGATTTCATCTGTTCATATGTTTGGACAGTTTCCAAAGGTAAAATGATTCTCAGATTAAAAAGATTTTTTACTTCATTACTTCAAAAATATTTTGAATAAAAATAATTTGATTTTATAAAGCTGTTTTACTAAACAACATTTCCTGTGAAAACTGATATGATATTTCATGTGTACCAAATATTTTGAAAAAAAAATTTTGAGTATCAGAAATTGTGCCTTTTTGAGTTACAAGTCAAAGAAGATCTCACTTCATAAAGTTTCTAAATTGATTTCTTATAAAATTTATAAATAGGTATTAATCAAGTATGAAGAAAATGAAGTAAATTATTTTTCGGTCATATAACTTGATTGATTTAGCACCTTATCATATCTGTCAAATAGGACAGTAAATTCCTCTGATTCCTATTACAGCACACTGATAAGATACATCCGACGGATCTAAACGATTATATATCTATGTTTTATGGTTCCCATCATTTGAAAAATTGCAAACAGTTATTCCAGAGAAATATTATAAACCACAATACATGATGGAACATAATTAAAGTAAAGTTTGATTGAATGAAGAACTAAAACTTCGATATTTTGTTCTTTCAAATGAACCGATTTATTATTTAACCGATTATTTAAATTCGTAGCTCAAATGCCAAATATAAAACTTCAAGCAATGCGCATGCCACCATGTTACCTACATTAAATTGTTGTTTATAAATGAAAATAAGGCGAATTTATATTTTTTCAAAAAAAATATTCGTTGAAGACGTTTTTATCGGAACTTTTAATTAAGAAAATATAAGATTTAACATAGCTAGCAGATACCCACTCATAAATAAGAAATCACCATACATATATACGATCGCCATACATTCTCGACATACATAAATATATTGCGTTTCTCGTTAAATGTAGTAAATTAAATGTATTCATAATTATATTTGAATAATAGGGGCATAAATCATTTTTCGAAAAATCCCAACAATTGACAACCCTCTTTGTAACAATTTGTTACCAGCCAAAATTCCAAAACATTGGCAACAAATCACATGATATCGATGTTTTTATTAGTTTAGTTGTAAGCTCTAGAGGATAAGGTCAACTCAAGCTTGAAGTGAGCCCCATCACCTTTTATATTACAGATCAAGAACGAAATACTTAGAAACGACAAAAATCTAAAAATAAACCTTACAATGCTTTTAAGCAGTAAAAGGAGTATTATTAAGACAATCCAAGGATTAAAGACAAAAGTAAGTAGAAAGGGGCTATGAAAAAAAAAGGACCTGTATAGCAGAGTGTTCATCGCCCTAAGTAGAGTAAAGATTAGTGGAGGGCTTCAAGTTGTAACATACTTGGAAGGACAGGCTAGTATATGTTTGAATGATAACTTTTATGAAATTATCATTCTTATTTGAAAATGACAATTTAAAAAAATAAAATAAAGTGTGTACATTAGACCACATGATAGAAGTGAAAATATCAAGAAGAGAAGGTTAATATGAAATATAAATTATAAATAACAGCTCATTATAAAGACGGTCAAATGCTGAATATTTCCCTCACTCGCAGGCTCGATTTTTAGTTTCTAAGATATGTTAATCCATATCTTCCATAAAATCCTTTAATTTGGGTTTGCATTTCTATTGTATCCTTGTATTTTTCAATTATTTGTATTACATCCGTCCAGTGGTAAATACATTTTCTACATCAAAACAGACCAAACGATGTTTATCTATTCTGTATTTTATTTATTCTTTCAAGCATTTGATTCACATCCATTGAGTTTTTTGTATCATTGTTACTATGATTTTAGGGTATTGAGTGTGAAATTGAAATATTTAGCCAAATTTTTCAGTTGCCCCATTGATATGACTAATAATAGGACTAAGTGGAACGCCACTTTTATGTAACTTTATTAATCCATGTATTGTAGTTAGGGTTAATTAGTTTAATTTCGTTTAATAAGAATTTTTAAGGTTAATAACAAGGTTTATTACATAAAATATAGACATTAAAGCAAGGTCAATCTATAAATGTCCTTTATGAATATTAATGAATTGAATAATAGCTCATTACAAAGAAGATGAAACGTTCACCGTTTTCCTCGCTTACAGTATACAGGTCCGAGTTTTAGTATCTGAAATATATATATATTGTCTTCATATTTCCATCCACACCTGTCATGAGCTTGGCAATAAGGAGATGTGCTGTAACTAATAAGAAAAATTGACATTTTAGGCATGAGGAAAAAATAATACACAGCAGCACTTCTTCCTGGTCTTGATTTATTTTCTTAATTCAAGAAAGGAGATCTCTCATCCAGCTCCTCTTTAATCGTCTCCTGATAGCCATGTCAGCTGGGCCGTCTCGTTAATAAGTCCGTTGTGATGTCCGCGTAGTTTAAGATGAAATCTGGAGTAGCAATCGCGTATGTGTTGGTCGATAATTGGTTGTCGTAAGTCATTATGTAAAGTTTTGTTGTTTACGCAGATGTTATTTAATTTTTATTTTTGTTCATTTTATATAGTTTATTAACACACCTAACCAAAGAACATAGTACGATATGCATACATTTTCATTTACTTCATTTATTTTTCGGGAACGCCTGATGTTAAATTTATTTCAGCAGTTTGATTATTCAACTTATCATTACAAACAATAAACAAGATGGTATAAATATATAAAAATTATGGCACAATATATTTTCTTATGAAATGAAGATTTTTTATTTTATTTGTTTTTTACTTTTCGGTTTTGAAATATGTGGCACTTATCAGTAGAGGTAAAGAGATATTTTGTGGATTTTGTGTTGTCGATCTATATAGGACAAGTGGCTGTTAAGTGTCGAACCTACATGCGTCCAAAATCATTATATATCGAGATATATCATTATTTGTCGAAAATAATCTATATATTGTATAAAAATGTCTGTATATCAAACATAACATAACATGGGTTTTCATTAAATAAAAAAAACAAACATTTTAAATAACAATGGTAAGTCGG